AGAGCGGGGTGGGGTCTTAACCACTGGTCCGCGAGGGAAGTCCTGAGATTCTTCTTCTTTATAAAGGTAGGTGTTCACAGCTATAAATTTCCCTGAGAGCTGCTTTTCAGCACCTCCCATAGTTTTGTTATGTTATGTTGTGAATTTTCCTTCAGTTATTAATTTCTAATTTCATTCCATTGTGATCAGAAAAGATACTCTGTGCAATTTCAATCTTTTAAAATTGATCAAGATTTGTTTTATTACTCAACATACAGCCTATCCTGAATGTTCTACGTGCACCTGAGAAGAATACATACTTTGCTGTTGTTGGATAGAGTGTTCAACAGATGTCTCACGGGTCTAATTAGTATATAGTTCACGTATATAGTATATGGTTCAAATCCCCTATGTCCTTGCTAGGTTTTTCTATCTAGCTATATCCCAATCATTTACTTCTTTTTTTTTTTTTTTTTTTTTTGGCTAAGCAATTATTTTATAAGTGTACAGTTCAGTGGCATTAAGTACATTCACATGGTTGTGCAACCATCACCAGCATCCATTTCCAGAACTTTCTTCATCTTGCAAACTGAAACTCTGTACCCTTTAAACAATAAATCCCCATTACTCCTGCCCCCAGCCCCTGGCAACCACCATTCTACTTTCAGTCTCTATGAATGTGACTATTCTACGGAGTTCATATAAGCGGAATCCTATAATATTTGTACTTCTGTGTATGGCCCATTTCATTTAGCATAATGTCATGGAAGCAACCTAAATGTCCATCAACAGATGAACGGATAACGATGCGGTACATATATATGATAGAATACTACTCAGCCATAAAAAAGAATGAAATAATGCTATTTGCAGCAACATGGACATAGAGATTATCATATTAAGTGAAGTACGTCAGAGCCAAGTATCATATGATATCACTTATGTGTGGAATCTAAAAAAATGATACAAATGAACTTATTTACAAAACAGAAACAGACTCACAGACAGAAAAACAAATTTACTGTTACCAGAGGGGATACTGTGTGTGTGTGTGTTGGGGGCGGGATAAACTAGGAGTTTGGGATTAGCAGATACTAACTACTGTATATAAAGTAGATAAACAACAAGGTCCTGCTACATAGCAAGGGGAACCATATTCAATGTCTCGTAGTGACCTATAATGGAAAAGAATCTGAAAAAGAATAGAAATATATATATATATGTATAAATGAATCACTTTGTTATACACCTGAAACTAACACATCATAAATTAACTACACTTCCGTTTTTAAAAAAAGGTTAATAAAAAAAAGAGAGAGAGAAAGGGAGAGAGACTGACAGGGCAAGAAAGGAGAGGCTATAAAACAGTCCAGATGTGAAATGACAGGGCACAAAGACAGCCCAGTGGGAGGGGGAAAAAGCTAAGAGAAAACTTTAAACATATCAATGATAAGTAAAATCTTAATTTAAAGTAAAATAAATATATTTTCACTCTTAGTCCATATGAGGCCTTAACAAAAGCAATTAACTGGGACTTAAATGATAAAGTGCTACAACAGCTGAACAAGAGTATTGTAAAGGTTAGCTACTCTGGAAAGGTAAGAAACTTATTTCATCCAAGGGATACTCCGCCACGTTCAGGGTAGACTTGGAACCCAGTGCAGGACTCGTCACCGCTCAGGTGAGCTGCGCCGTCAGCACCTGGCGTGGCAGCTGCTCTCCTGGGACAAAAGAACCATGGGGCTACCTGATAGCCTTCGGTTTTCTTCTGACACCACTTCAGCAAGGCGTTCCTCTTGGATCCTCCATATTCTCTTGCCAATGCTGAGAGAGGGTCCTTCCTTTCTTCCCTGATAAGTGAAAATAAGGAACCCAAGTTGAAATATTTCTTATTTGAGCACCCTTCTAAACCAGAAATCCAACACAACAGAACATTTGAACAGAACAAACGCACACTCAGAGGCATCCAATGGCAAGACGTACCTTCACCCGTTGGATTTTGCCTGTCAATTTTTATGGGTCCCACAGACCCACCACCATCAGGGGGCTCTGCCATCTGTAGGGGGTCTGCCACCTGTAGGGGGCTCTGCCACCTGTAGGGGGCTCTACTCATTATCCACACGGAAACTGGCAAAGATTCAGCACCACTGCATCTTGGGTTCCTTATTTTCACTTAGAGAAGAAAGGAAGGACCCTCTCTTGGCACAGCACCACTGTGCCAGGCCATGTGCATGTGCTGGGCAGGGCGCAGTGAGCAACACAGAGACCCTGCCTCTCAAGGAACTTCAGAGTTTACTACAGGACAGACCAACTACAGAAGCTTGGGGGGAAAAAAAAAAATCAATGGCTATACCTTACTCATTTCTTAAAATTATATGGAGGGTACTTTAGGGCACTGTCAACTGCCTTGGAGGCAGAATAAATATCCTTCCCCAGACCAGACACTGAATCAAAAAAGATTTTGTGATCACCCTGGCGATGGAGCAGGGGAGGCATACAACCCACTCCTCCAGTACCCAATGTTTCCTTCCAGAAACTATCCTAGAAGTAGAACAGAATACCAAGGAGCACTCTGTAAAACAACCAGAAACTATCCTAGAAGCAGAACAGAATACCAAGGGGCACTCTGTAAAACAACCAGAAACTATCCTAGAAGCAGAACAGAATACCAAGGGGCACTCTGTAAAACAACCAGAAACTATCCTAGAAGCAGAACAGAATACCAAGGGGCACTCTGTAAAACAACCAGAAACTATCCTAGAAGCAGAACAGAATACCAAGGGGCACTATGTAAAACAACCTGTTCCTTGACAAGCAGCACACTCTTAAAAGCCTGGTCTAATTTTTAGTGATGACTGCACAAGTGGAGATTCTAGCCCTACGACCCATACACTTAACAGTCCAGTTACTGTCCCAGAGGTTATGATGTTACAGGTGGCTTACTATTATTCTGTCCATATTCATCCTACAAAGTATGGTAGGAAATCAAAGAGCACACATGTAGAACTGAAGCTTTTCCAAGTGAGAGGTGCACTGAAATAGCACCAATTTTTATTTAGAACCAAAAGTAAAATATGAAAATATTTCAACTTGCAGTTAGACTGCTGTCTTGAAGAAATATACGTTTATGTTTGCGTACCTGCCCACCAGATTGCTGCCCTGATTTAAAGGGTTCAAAGAAGTTTGTTATAACACCACTGATCACAGGAAATGAGAATGAAGATAAAGATGAGATATGTGAATGAAAACAAAAGGGCAAGCCAAAAGAAAAAAAAAAAAACCTCTATTATGCTCAAAATAAAAGTAACTACTACAATCACTGTGAAAGGTTTCCTCTAGTTCACACAGGCCATTTTGTTATAGAAACAGCTTAAAAAGCATCAAAGACGAGTAAAGTCTATGGGCACAATGAGAAGCTGCAGCAAAGAGCCTCCTAGAGCAGAGGGTGCTCTCCTGTAACATCTTCACTGTAAGATAAGGAAGCTACGGCCAGGAGACACCTTGTGGAGGCTCACAACTTCTAAGTGGGGCACCAGGAAGAGTGGGGGCCCTGCCCACCAGCGCGGACAGTGCTCTCCCGGGCTTGGCCAGGGCGGCATGAGCCGCACTCTCCACTGCACCCGACCTGCCTGACCCGCACTGAATACGGGATCACTCTTCTAAGAGGTCGGTCCCCGAGAGGCTGGGTTTTATAAGTGAGCATATGATTTGAGTTTGAGACACCAAATATCCCACTTTTACTCAAACTTGTAAGTCAGTATACGGTAGAGCTCTGAAACCCACTCCCATCCCTCCTTCAGCTCGTGTTCAGCCTTTCTGCACACTCACTGGAGTCACTGACCCTGCCAGTAACGCTCACCTTCCCCCCGGTCCACCATCCTCACGGCCTCGCTCGAGTTCCCCTCTTCCAGCCTCCCCAACACTCCATCCACACCCTGTTTTCACTAAACTTACTTTTGTACTCAGCTGTTCTCTACTTGAAAAAACCAAAACCAAAAAAAACCCACAAAAAACAAAAACAAAAACACCATCTGCTTGGGGAAAATAATTATCTCTTTTACTTTGTTTTACTTTTTTACTTTCATATCATCTTTCCCAATTCTAGGCACAGAAGACTAGATCAGAAAACACTAAATAACACATAAAGAATGAAAATACATCAGTGCTCGAATGCCGTTACTTTATAACCTGATCATTTAATTTCAAAAGGCCAGGAACGGCAGGCATGAAATGCTCCAATACTAACTACTGTCCTCTACCTTATCCGGCTTCGAGTGGTGGGGGTCACGGAGGCCGTGGGGGAGGAGGACAGGGACAGCTGTGGCGACGTGGCACCAATGGCCATGAGCGAGGCAGGAGACGTGCCCTCAGGTGCAGAGACATCTCGCTTCATCTCTTCACTGCTTCGTCTGGACACTGAGTGAAACAGCCATTATGCAATTTATAGCAAAAACATTTTAAGCTGAGTTCTTGAGACATCTTCTTCAGCAGGTCCCCAAAAGAGCAGAAATTATCATACAGGAGGAAAAACTAACATTCTCTTTAACTTACTGATAACTTGAAAGTTTTGTGTTTTTTTTCCATTTTAAAAAACTGTAGGGGGCTTCTCTGGTGGCGCAGTGGCTGAGAATCTGCCTGCCAATGCAGGGGACACGGGTTCGAGCCCTGGTCTGGGAAGATCCCACATGCGGCGGAGCAACTAGGCCCGTGAGCCACAAGTACTGAGCCTGAGCGTCTGGAGCCTGTGCTCCGCAACAAGAGAGGCCGCAACAGTGAGAGGCCCGCGCACCGCAATGAAGAGTGGCCCCCGCTTGCCACAACTAGAGAAAGCCCTCGCACAGAAACGAAGACCCAACACAGCCAAAAATAAAAACAAATTAAAACAAACAAACAAAACAAAAAAAACTGTGAAAAAGGTACAGTTGTTGAAATATGCACAGAAGCCCACATTCCCTGAAGGCAAGGAGTGTGTCTCATCCACCCTTAACACTCAAAGCACCCACCTGGCCCACAGTGAGTCCCCCGCAAACCTGCGTTCAACTACAAACATGACCAAAGCCAAAGGCTAACTAAAGCAACATTCACTCTCAACCAAAATCAACACAACCCTTCTGAACGTGGCCAAAAACACTGCTGAAGAGACAGAAAGGAAAGATACTTTGTTACAGGGCCACACTTAATTCTGGGTCAAGATTTTTTTTTTTTTTGGCTGCCTTGGGTCTTCATTGCTGCACGTGGACTCTCTCTAGTTGTGGTGAGCGGGGGCTACTCTTTGTTGTGGTGCACGGGCTTCTCATTGCAATGGCTTCTCTTGTTGCAGAGCAAGGGCTCTAGGCGTGCGGGCTTCAGTAGTTGAGGCGCATGGGCTTAATTGCTCCACGGCATGTGGGATCTTCCCGGACCAGGGATCGAACCCATGTCCGCTGCATTAGCAGGCAGATTCTTAACCACTGCGCCACCAGGGAAGTCCCAAGCCACGTTTTAAAAAACATGAATCAACGAAACAGAAAAGCAAAAGGTGTCGCGTCAAGTCAACTACCGAGAGATAAGAACAATCAGGAAAGTCCTATTTTGAAAGCGTAAGGCACTAGGCTTTGTTGGAATTACGAAAGTCCTGAGAACTGGGAGGTGGAAGCAGCCATTGCAGCCGTTGAAAACAGAGCCACAACAGAAGCGGCTTTCTGGCCACGATGACGTGAGATACGAGACAAGGCTCCTGACCTCAGAGTCTCTCACCTCAGATGATGCTGGATGCGAGGGAGCCATTACTGCATCATCCCGGGCTGGCTGTAATCCAATCATGCCAAACACCAGTAATTTCCCCCGGATGACTGGAACTGCACCCTTTCATTGGCTGAAGTTCTCCTGATGATTTTAGGAATAGCCACAGCATACTATAACTCGGCAACAGCTAAGAGGTGTGTTTTTTTTGTTTTGTTTTGTTTTAAACATTTTATTTTATTTTATTTTATTTGCGATACGCGGGCCTCTCACTGTTGTGGCCTCTCCCGTTGCGGAGCACAGGCTCCGGACGCACAGGCTCAGCAGCCATGGCTCACAGGCCCAGCCGCTCCGCGGCATGTGGGATCTTCCTGGACCGGGGCACAAACCCGTGTCCCCTGCATCGGCAGGCGGACTCTCAACCACTGCGCCACCAGGGAAGCCCCATGAAGTGTGTTTAAAGATCAAGAGGAGACAGGCTTTCTCCTATTATAAGATCTTATCAGAATGATCCACCTGCATATTTGACATAATTTTATAATTATTCTGCCTTTTCCTTTCAATGTCAGATCTCTGTATGCCTTAAATTGGCAGTTTCTTTTAAGTGGTATGCTAGGAAATTGGATGAGAACACCTTTGATAATTTTATATCAAACAGAGGAAACAGACTGAGAAAGAATCAGAAGAACTCTGTTACAGGAAAAGGCTCTGGATCTGGGCTTTGGGGGTGGTGATTTTGGCTGGACTTCCCACTGATTTAAAGACCAAGCTAAGATGTACAAAAACTGTACTAACTTAAATCCACATACAAGTGGGACATTAACCATAGGAGGCAGGGTTATAGGAATCTCTGCTTTCCTGGTCCAATTTCTAGTTGAGCTATTAAGGGTTAAAAAAAGGCCACAAGGGGAAAATAACATGAACACTGATAAACTGAAGAGTTAGCTCTAGGAGACCGAAAAAGTAAGCCCATCAAATTCATCATTGTAAAACGGCTATAACACTGGGAAAATCTGGCTTCTGGAGAATTTTTGGTGTGCTCTGAAATAACCCTTCAAAAACAGTCATGACACATCTTGGGATAAATATTTTAACCTTTCACAGCTACGCAACTTTGTATGAACCTATATTTTCAGTATATCTTCTAACCCACTCTAGGCACTTAATGAACACTTGTTAAGTGAACGGAACTATCTAGCTCTTATTTTTTATTTTTGAAATCAGGGCCATGAAATGTGATTTCTATGAAATGTGTAAGATACAATAGGGGAAATTCAGAGTGAAAAACAATCAACTAAAGAGCTAAAGAGGCAAGTAAGGTTAAATAAACCTATAGAGAAAGTACTCGGTACCATCACTAAAACTTCTGGAAGAATCTTTTTAAAAGAAATTTCAGATAAAAAGTATTACCTGAGATGGTCTTGGCACTTTCCATGGCAGGTACTCTCGGCAGAGAAGCAGGTCGGCTGGTTGAAGATGTTCTTAGTAGATGCTCTGCACAGGGTGGAAAGTGTCACAGTAAAGAGACCTGACCCTGAATTTCAAGAGGCAAAGGCAAGCAGGAAGGTGAGTTTTGCTCCCTTTGCCCCTGAGGCTCGTCTGTCCCTCATTCCCATCCAGGGCACCTCAACGGCTCCCCACAGAGTCCCTTATACAAAACAACTCCCGTAGACAAGGACCAAGGGAAAACACCTCATTCAACTTTTATTTCTAGGGATGAGACATGCAACACAGATGAACACTTCTAAACCACCGACTGCTACTTACCTCTGATGCAATTCAACCAAAATTCCAAGATCCCCCACTGCATCTAGGTCTAAAAGTACAAACTAAATCAAAGCCTTGCCCTGTGTGCCTATAGTTAGTGGAGGAGACATACGTGTCTACAACCAGAGACAAGTCAGGATGGAAACTGGAATAAGAGAATGATAAAGCACTATCAAGCCACAGATAGGGATTTCCCTGGTGGCACAGTGGTTAAGACTCTGCGCTCCCAATGCAGGGGGCCCGGGTTCGATCCTTGGCCCGGGAACTAGATCCCACTTGCATACCGCAACTAAGAGTTCACAACTAAGGAGCCAGCAAGCTGCAACTAAGACCCGGTTCAACCAACCAAATAAATAAGTAAAAAGAAAGGATCTATCGAGCCACAGAGGTAGAAGCCATTTGCTTCGACTTCAGGCATCAGGAAGCCTTCAGCAGCATAATGACATGAATTTGTCTGTCAGACGCTGGCTTCACTAATGGAGAACAGGGCTGGGGAACAGTATTCAGCCAGATAACATTCAGAGCAGAGGTAGAAGGACATTCAAGTTAGAGGACAATAAATCCCAGCCATGGCTGAACCACGGGGCAGGGGGAGAACAGAGAGGGCAGCAGGGGGATGGCTCTAAAGCGGGGATGTGGCTAACTGACAAGAGCCTCACTGCCTGGCATGTGGACTTCAGTCTGAGGGCAGCGAGGACCCTCAGGAGGGACACAACCAGATCCTGCCTCCCCGTCAAGGGCACAGCTCCACCTGTTCTTGCTGAACACAGGCTGGGTTGGAGTCTCTGAAGTTCCCTGAGCCCTGGCACAGTGGTTCCCTCGCCCCCTCAGCCCGGCCAAATTCACCAGCCTTTGGGCCCAGTCTGACACCCCTTCCTCAGCACCTGCTCCCCACAATGGGTGCCCCAGACACAGGCCGGCCCACCTCTGACCTCGGTGACAAGCCCAGCGAGGCTGTCACCAGGCCAGGACAACAAGCAAGGAAGGCTGGACATGTCCCGCCTGGTCCTGTGTGTCAGGGAGATGTGATGGGGCTGGGCTGAGTGAAGACAGTTAGTCCTGTCTGAGAACAAACACACTCGACGGGGAAAGGCGGGATCAACCAGACACCAGTCAAACAGCCCCGTCAGCACTTCGTTTTAAGAATTAACAATTTAAAAACTACTCCCTCTCAGAATATCATGATGTCAAAAGTAATGGCCTATCACAATATCTTTCAAGGAGAGCACATCTTTCATGCCAAAATGTGTTTTCTAAGCGTGTGAGGACTATGTGGTTGTGATCACACAGCACTCTGGAGGGAGGCTCCAGAAGACAGGACTCACACAGCCCATAGCCACTATGCCTTTCTTATCCTGAACCAACAAAGCCTCGATGCAGAGCCCACCAGCAAGCATCGGTCGAAATTCTGAACGCTGTGGTGCTTGCACTCGTCTTCACAGGAAGAGCACATTATGCACAAAGACTGACAGACAAAGCAAAGTTCGTGGAACATGGAAAGAGTAGGAAATAGGAGTCAACATTTTAAATTTAGTCCAAATGTCCACTTCACGGTTACGAGACTGGTCATGTCCCTGAAGCCTTCATCTCCCAAAGAACACAGCACATGAGGAAAGTGAGGACAGATTATAGAGACACACGGGTCAGAATAAGGAGGGTGCCAGCTGAGAGCAAGCAGGAGGCGCCCCATCTCCGTCTCTGCCACTGGGCACGTGGAAGGCGCGCGACTGAGGCACGGTGCATGGACCTGCCGCCCACCCAGTGCAGCCTGCTCTCACTGCATGTCTAAGTATCCAAATCCGTCTCAACTCAGTAGACAGTCCCTGGCACAGGCCAACGCTGCCCTTCTGAGAAGGTACAAAAAGGCACTGTTCGGAGGCACCTTCCAATGGGCACAGCGCTGCCTGCTGCTCCGGGTGGCGTTCTCACTGCTGCCTGCGACACCAGCCACGGAACGAGCACATGCCCCTCTGCTGCTGCAGCAGCGGCTAGATTACAGCTTCACGTCAAACTGCTGGCGAATCCCTCTTTGGGAAATAAGATTAGTGTGTCACAATCAGATGTGGCAGGCAGGAGAGAGCTGACGTTACAGTAATCAGGTCTACCCTATTGCCATATGGAGCTATTCTTGTCTTTAATCCATTCATTAAACAAAAACCACTTGGGTGTCCATGACTTGCCAGGCACTGGGCATGATGCAAAGGTCAGAGAAAGGAGGAAAGAAGGCAGCAACTTGCCCTCCTGGAACTCGGAGTCTACAGCAGAAGCCAGACATTTAAAAAATCGCTGCGCGTGAGGGATGCAGGAAAGAAGCAGTACAAGGGGCTCTGGGAACACAGCAGGGGACGTGACCTGCTCTTGAGAGGAGGTCCGGAAAGGCCTCCTCGGGAAACGACATCTCAGTTAAGACTAGAAGGATAATTAATAGCTTTTATAAAGGCAAAGGAGAGCGTGTTCCCAGCACAGTGTTCAGCAGACACCAAAGGAAATCTAGGACAGCAGTGCTGTGAGGGCTGGCGAGGCTGGAAGGCCAAAGCAGGCCAGGCTGAAGAGTGTGGCCTTCACCCACTGGCAACATGGAGCCACTGATGGTGTCTCGGGTGGACATCCTTCCAGCTGCAGGGGGTGGGAGGGCAACAGTGCATGCAGGTGATGAGTTATACCCAAAGCAGAGAGCCTGGACCCAGGTGGTACCAGGGGAGATGGGAGAAGTACACGGATTCAAGGGCTCTTCAATGAGGCAGAATCAACAGACTTGCTAACCACCTGGAAATGGTGGCGACAGAAAGGAGGTTCCACATAGAGAGATAAGAGAGAAGAAGAGGACTCTGGGAGGGAAAG